TTCAGGTCTTAATTTTCATCATCCTTGTAATTTGTTTCAGCTTGCTAAAACTACTTTTTTAGTGTTGCAGACTTCATCAGAATACCTAATAAATTGATGATTCTCTGACACCAGAATCTAAGAAATATACTCACACGTGATAAACTGAAATTTTTGTGAATTGCAGAATGAACATACTCACACGTTGCATTTCTCATATGTTTTGATGTCTAACAAGTAATTCTTGTGTCATATAGCTTTGTTGCTTTAAAATTTTAGTTTTTGAATTGAATTTATCTTAAAACAATCCATCCTTTGATTGCTTCTCTAAAACCAAAATCTTACAAGACAAAGCTTATATTGTATCTTCGAAGAAGGTTGAAGAATGAGATGAAATCTCGAGTATGTTTCTATGTTCAAAAAACTCAAATCAGATTGTTATGTGTTTCTGAAGTTCACTGGTTTAGTACTTGAACACGAGCAAACAGAGATTGAACACTCATACATTGAGTTGGACAATACTAAAACGGGTCGGAATCCCTTACTGAAATGCGTGAGGAAAACACAGAAGCTAAAGAAAATAATGGATGAAATGAAAAAAGATAGTTGGGTGGCAAATAAATGTGTGATTGATATGAAAAATTGGAAAAAAGAGATGACGAAGACTTGAAGGTAATGAAGAGAACAAAATTGAGAAGGAGAAGTTGAGGAGATAAGGCTAAAGCTATATTGTAGAATTTATCATTAATTTAAAGAGAAGAAGAAGACGAAAAAGAAGGGAAAACCTAAGGAGATATAAGTTATGAATATAGAGAGGGAGGTATGGAGAGAGAGAGAGAGATGGAGAAAGAAGGAGAGAGAGGGAGATACAGAGAGAGGGGGAGATACAAAGAGAGGGGGAGAGACAGCGCGATGGAGAGAGAGGGGGAGTGAGGAGATACAAAAAGAGAGGGAGAAGGAAGGAGGGAGATAGAGACAGACAGAGAGAGAGATGAAAACATTGTATGTGCAAGTAAACAAATCAGAATATGAAAACAAGAGAAAATATGAATCAGAATAATAATCATTCTGAAAATATGAATACAATGAAGACTGAGAAGCAGTGAAAAGACAAAGAAAATCAAAATAAAATGTCGGGAGACTAGATGATGATGAAGAAAAGGATGAGGGATAGGAAGACTGAAAGATATGTAAGAGGAAGAAGAAGAAGAAGTAGAAGTAGAAGTCAAAGACGATGAAGAAAAAGAAGGAAAAAACAAGGAAGAAAAAACTCCGAAAGATGAATAAGAGGAAGAAGAGAAAAATGAATTCAATGGAAAGAAGAAGAATAAAAATTCGAAGAGAAAGAAGAAAAATACATTGAAATGGGATAAAAAAGAAGAATACGAGTAAACCCGGAAAAAAAATTTCAGGGGAAAGAATTGATCAAACACATCAAAAAAGAGTAAGAAAAATACGAAGAAGAAAAAAATAAAAGATAAGGAATATGAAGAAGAGTTGAACAAAGAAGGAGAAAACAAAGAAGAAGACAAATAAGAAGAGAAAGAAGAAGTAGAAATAAAAAGATGAGGAATAAGAAAAGCGAAAAATAAATAAGAAAAAGAAGAAGAAAAGGCAAAGGCGATAAAAAATAATTTCATTTTATACATGATTCTTCTGATTGTTTATATGTATTGTAACTATCTAAGCTTTTGGCTATAACTGGTCATTGGTTTTTGTTGTCTTACAGTGTATAGGTACTTCCTCTCTTCCCTTGTATATTTGTACGTGATTATCGTGACATTTCTACGTAGGTATTAGAGTATTGATACTTACGATCTAATTACACATATATTGGATGGTTGGAAGACAATGAAGAAAAATAATAAAAAAAAAGATGATAAAGAAGAACAACCAAAAGATAAAGAAGAAGAAAAAGAAGAAAACGAATAACCATTATGTGGAAATGAAAAATTCGTATTTGTATTAGTTTAGTTTGTTTGTAAGTTTTATACATTTATTTAGTATTGCATTTTGGGTGTTTCATTTTATGGATTTGTTTTATTTTGGTCATATTAAGTCACAATTGTTTTGATTTTCTTGATTCACATAATATAAAGTTTTGTTTTACAATTTTAAATCTCTCAAAGGTCCGCGCAAGGAGCTGACAAGACACCTAGTTTTAATTTAAATAAAAACAGATTTTATTTGAATTCAAAATGATTATTGGTAAGCCGGTGATCACTTTGTATTTTAAAACTTAAAATTTTTTTTTAAGTTAATACTCTTCTTCCCTAAATATTAAAAAAAGAATGGGCATTATGACAATCTTACTTTGTCTTGTAAAGAAAAAACTTATGTTTTTCCTAACTCGAACGTTACATCATTAATCGAAATTAAAATGTTCGACCTGATAAAGATACATTCCAAACACGAGAAGCAAACGTAGCTGCGTATCTTCTATCATAGCTGTATCAAGTATTGAGTATGGTAATCGATTTGTATTATTGATGAAGTATAGTCACAATATATACAAGAGGAGAGGCCAATATACAACGGTAATCTACATTAACTATATGAGCGATTATAGGAGATGATTATAGGATATGATGAGATATGAGGAATATGTGTTTCCATATTCTATCACACCCACTCAAGATGGACGGCCTGGTGAGAGTCTGATCTTGACAAAAAGAGTTTGTAATCGAGCTCGGGAGAGTGGTGTCGTGAGAGCATCAGCCAACTGATCCGGAGATGTGACATGAGTAACTCGCAGCTGGCCAGGCTGAACAAACTGGCGTACGAAATGGTAGTCTAAAGCGATATACTTCATCCTAGAATGAAAAACAGAGTCTATTGCTGCCAAATATGTAGCTCCTATGTTGTCAGAATAAATGACTGGAGTGGAGGTGACATTGAGGCCCAATTCTGATAGGAGAGATGAAATCCAGCAAACTTCAGCAGTGCTAGACGCGACTGAGGTATTCAGCTTCGGTAGAAGAGCGAGAGACCCCAGTTTGTTTCTTCGAGGACCGAGCAATGGGATGACTTCCGAAGTAGACAATATAAGCATTTGTGGATGTGTAGTCGTCTTTGTTACCCACTCAATCAGCATCGGTGAAGGCATGCAGATCTGGTTTGTTGTTCGCTCGTAGATAGATGCCGTGAGATATAGTACCAGAGAGGTAGCGCAGGATTCTTTTTACGGCAGTCCAATGTTCAGTGGTCGGACGATGCATGAACTGAGATAGTTTGTTAACAGAGAACAAGATATCAGGCCTAGTAAGGGAGAGATATTGAAGACTCCCCACAATAATTTGGTATTCTGTTGCATCATCTAAGGCAGTACCGGAGAGAAGAGTGAGCGATGAGTTGGCTTCCATTGGTGTTGAGACATGTTTAGCATTGGTCATGTTGGCCTTGTGCATTAAATCTGCAATATAACGACGTTGTGTTAGGTGTAGTCCATCTTTCGTACGAGTTACCTTAATACCTAAAAATAAGATAAATCACCTAAGTCTTTAAGGGAGAAACGTTGAGAAAGGGAAGCGATAAACCGAGAAATATGAGAGGAACTGTTGCCAGTGATTATGATTTCGTCGACATAAACAAGCATGTAGAGAAGAATGTCGTTCTGCTTATATATGAACAGAGAGGCATCAGCGACAGAGTTTGTGAAGCTGGATTGAGGGAGAAACGTGCACAGCTCATTGTACCAAGCTCTTGGAGCTTGTTTAAGGCCGTAGATGGCTTTATGGAGTTTGCATATTGCTTGTGGATTTTCTTTGTCTTGGAAACCAGGCGGTTGGATCATATAAACTTCATTTTGAAAATGTCCTTGTAAGAAGGCATTGTTGACGTCAAGTTATCGCATCGACCAATTCCGTGAAAAAGCTGTTGCGTCTACCACTGCTGAAGTTTGCTGGATTTCGTCTCTCCTATCAGAATTGGGCATCGATGTCACATCCACTCTAGTCATTTATTGTAACAACATAGGAGCTACATATTTGGCAGCAAACCCTATTTTTCATTCTAGGATGAAGCATATCGCTTTAGACTACCATCTCGCACGTCAGTTTGTTCAGTCTGGTCAGCTGTGGGTTACTCATGTCACATCTGCGGATCAGTTGGCTGATGCTCTCATGAAACCACTCTCCCAAGCTCGATTCCATACTCTTTCTATCAAGATCGGACTCTCACCAGGCCATCCATCTTGAGGGAGTGTGATAGAATATGAAAACACATATTCCTCATATCTCGTCATATCCTATAATCATCTCCTATAATCGCTCATATAGTTAATGTAGATTAACGTTGTATATTGGCCTCTCCTCTTGTATACATTGTGACTATACTTCATCAATAATACATATCGATTACCATACTCAATACTTGATACAGCTATGATAGAAGATCAGCAGTTACGTTTGCTTCTCGTGTTTGGAATGTAATCTTTATCAGGTTGAACATTTTAATTTCGATTAATGATGTAACGTTCGAGTTAGGAAAAACATAAGTTTTTTCTTTACAAGACAAATTAAGATTGTCATTATGCCCGTTCTTCTTTAAATATTTAGGGAAGGAGAGTATTAACTTACTCAAACTCGAAAGGAAAAGCAATGGTGTAGTATAGGAGTATCCATTAACGATCTGTAACGAACATTACTAAACGACTCATGTTTCAAATGAAGAAAATTATAATTTACTAACAATTATTTTGGGTATATCTTACGGTCTTACATGGTGTTTAAAACTCTCTTATCCTAAGATATAACAACAAAATACCATATTCGTATTCATTTAGTATAATCTTTTTTTTTTCCTTACTTTACCGTTACATCATTCAAGCAAACAACACCTTTTGATCAACACAATAATAGAACACACAAATGAATTACAGAACGTGAGTAGTGTTAAAAAGAGAAAATTTTACTTGACAACAAATCAAATGAGAATTTTCACACAAAAACAAGAAAAAAAAAAGAGAGAAAACTTATTACCCTGAAATTGAATATTCTATTTTCAGAGAAATATGAAACACTCTACGCAACAAGCGGGTTCTCTAACAATTCCTCAGTGGTATAACCGTAATTCTGATACTGTTGCTGATCCGACCCGTTTTTGCTCGGATCTAGCCTAACCCGAGCCGGAGGCTGATTGTTTTTCATAGTCCCTGCCCCACCCACCCGACTCTGATTCGAATCCATCATGGATCTGTTCGTTGCCGGTGATCTCGTCCTTCTTCCGGATCTCTCACCATTACACGTACCCGAACCGAATCTCGCTCCATTACACGTACCGGTGTTTCTCTTACGAGGAGATTGATCGGTTCTTCTTCGGGTCGGGTAATTATTCCCTGTGACCCGGGTCCAAGATTTAGCCGGAGATCTCTGAGACATGACTATAAACCACCTCGACCTCACGAAGATTCGCCATACTCACCAGCAATGGCTTTTCTTCAAAACCGAGAATACACAGATAATTGATGCAGTTAGCCAACCTTGGATCGCCTATGTGGAGTAGTTGTCGTTTTGGTGTCTAAGTCGTTTCTTAATGGGCTTGCGACATCAGGTGGGCTTCTACGTTTTACAAGTCTCGACTAAAAACAAGAGCTGGGCCTTACGGGAAAATTGGCCCGAGCTCAAGGTTGTTAAAAACAATCATCGTTGACCAAGTCTTCGTCTTCTACAATTGGAATAACAGAACAGAGAGAGAGCGAATTCTACAGAGTTCTAGAGAGAGAAAGTTTTCTTCTCGGTGATCGGAGTTACAGCGATCGGGTTGGTCGATCTCGGAGGTCTCTGCGTCGATTCTTTTCCAAGAGTTTTCCCTGCAAATAGCTGTAGAAAGATTCAGCAAAAGGTTCACTTGTATATCTGTTCTAAACGTTGATATAGTGAACGCATGGTAGTTTAGTTCTACCCCCAGACGTACCGCGAGGGAACTGGGTTAACAAGTTTGCCTGTGTCATTAGTCTAGATTCTTCCGCAAGAACACCTTAGTTGAATCTAGCTCAATCGAATTGATCAAGCTTTTGGGACTAAGAAATTGATTCTAGTGTTAGTCGGATTTCTTAACAAAGTGGTATCAGAGCATAGGCTTATAGATCGCCGGAGGGATTACGGTTAAGTGATCAGGGGGCGATCTTGGATCTGAGTTCGATTGGTTATCTTTGAAATTCCTGAAGTCAGTCGAGTTTCTTCTTGGACCAAGTTATTACTGCATTCTTTTGGTCTTGGCTCAAGAACAGGAAAGATGGAAGCAGTTAAGAAGTTTGAGATGGAGAAGTTTGATGGCAAAGGTGATTTCGGTATGTGGAAGTTTCGCATGTTGATGCAACTTGAGTTGCAAGGTTTTGGGAAACAAGTAAAGGAAATCACAGGAGAGGTTAAGGATGACACAAAAGGCAAGGACTTAGAAGAAGTGGACTCTGAAACAGGTGTGGCGTTAACTCCGGACCAGATCATAGAAAGAGATGTGAGAATCCGGAATCTCATATGCTCAAGCTTAACATCAATGGTCCTCAGAAAAGTCATGAAGGAAACGACAGCAGCTGGTGTGTGGAAAGCCTTAGAGGCTGATTATCAGACGAAGACTCTACCTAACAGAATCTATCTCAAGCAACGGTTTGCAAGTTACAGGATGGACAAGAATAAATCAATAGATGAAAACATGGATGGTTTCTTGAGACTGGTTGATGAGTTGGAAAGTTTGAATATCCAGATAAGCGATGAAGATTAAGCCATTCAAGTGTTGTCCGGGTTGCCCGAACAGTATGCTTCTTTGGTGCACACATTGAAGTATGGAAACAAAGGCAAGGATACCCTGACACTAGCTGAAGTGGTGCAATCAGCTCACGCAAAGGAGGTGGAGCTTCGTGAGTCTGGTCTCTTGAATAAGTCAAACCACACATCAGAAGGGTTATACGCGGGTCAAGGAAAGTCTGTAAAGAAAAGCAAAGGAAAGTTTGCTGGGGGAAAACAGAAGTCTGGGAAATCAAAGAAGGATTCCCAGGGAGGACAAGTCAAAGCACGAGAGTGCTGGGTGTGTGGCAAGGAAGGTCATTTTAAGAAAGACTGTCCACAAAAGAAAACTCAGGCATCCTCAAGCTCAGCAAATTTGGCTCAAGAAAGTGAGAAACCAATGATTCTCACGGCGAGCACAAAATATGCTAAAGACGAGTGGGTGCTGGATTCAGGGTGTACGTTTCACATCACACCAGAAAAGGATCTACTATTTGATCTCACGGAATTTAATGGAGGAAAAGTGTTAATGGGAAATAACACATTTAGTGAGATCAAAGGTATAGGAAAACTGAAGATTGTTAATCCAAGCAATTCAACAGTTGTTCTAACTGAGGTAAGATACATGCCATCAATGGGCAGAAATCTGATTTCCTACGGACAGTTGGAAAAGGAAGGATGTTCTTATGAAGGGAAAGATTTCACGGTCACATTCAAAAAGGATGGGAAGAATGTTCTTACTGGAAAGTATAAAGACGGGCTCTACTACTTACAAGGGTCAGTAGTTGAAGGAGAGGTGGATACAGTTTCTAGAGCTGCGGTTAATCTGACAAACAGGTGGCATTCCAGGTTGGGGCACATGAGCTTAAAGAATATGAATCAGTTGGTTAAAGATGGTTATCTTAACAAAAAGGAAGTTCATACTCTGGATTTTTGTGAAGAATGTGTTCTTGGGAAAGCACACAAGTTAAGTTTTCCAACAGGCAAGCATACATCAACCGTGAACTTAGAATATGTTCACAGTGATCTTTGGGGATCTGCAGCGAATTCTGAGAGCTTATCAGGCTGTAAATATTTCTTGACCATCATTGATGACTATTCCCGAAAGGTCTGGATCAGATTTCTAAGGAGTAAAGATGAAGTGTTTGGAAATTTTTCAGAATGGAAGCTCTTGGTGGAAAATCAGACGGGTAAAAAGATCAAGTGTCTCAGGACGGATAATGGGTTGGAATTTTTCAATGTTCAAATGGACAAGATATGCAAGGACTCAGGAATAAAGAGGCATAGGACCTGTACCTATACTCCACAGCAAAATGGGGTTTCAGAAAGGATGAACAGGACCATTGCTGATAAGGTTAGGTGTATGTTAGCGGAATCTGGATTGGAGAAAAAGTTTTGGGCAGAAGCAGCATCTACAGCAGTATATCTCATCAACAGGACACCTAATGCATCACTTAAGTTCAAGATACCAGAAGAGTTGTGGTCAGGGACAAAAATCGGATATGATCATCTCAGAAGGTTCGGGTGTATAGCTTATGTTCATACTATTCAAGACAAGATCAGTCCTCGGGCTTTAAAAGGTATTTTTATGGGGTATCCTCATGGAACCAAGAGTTACAGGATCTGGTTGTTAGAAGAACAAAAGACTACAATCAGCCGAAATGTTATCTTTGATGAATCCAGGGTGTATAAGGATTTGGGGAAAAATGAAGAAGAAAGCCTTGAACTTAGTGAAAAGGTTGTCATTAACCCAAAGACTAAGAAGGTCCCAGGCTCAAGGGTCACAAGAGTAAACAGAGCAGGCTCATCTGGAAGGAGACGATCTACGGTTCAAGGTGGAGCTGTTTCAGTTGAGTCAGAAGATTCAGATACCGAAGAAAATGGGTCTGAGGGTGATCAAGAAGATGGTTCTGAACAGGAAAATGCAGGGGTGGAAGAAAATCTAGATAACTATATCTTAGCTAGGGACAGAGAAAGAAGAACGATTCGTCCCCCAGCAATGTTTGAAAGTGGGGACTATGTTGCTTATGCCCTAGCAAGTGCAGAATTGATTGAACCTCAAGAACCGAGAACTGTTTCAGAAGCGAGAAGAAGTAAAGAGTGGAAACAGTGGAATGAGGCCATGGTAGAGGAGAAGCAATCTCTTGATAAAAATCACACATGGGACATTGTGGATAGACCTCAGAAAAAGAAGATCGTTGGTTCGAAATGGATTTTCAAATTGAAAGAGGGAATTCCAGGAGTTGAACCACCTAGATACAAAGCAAGACTTGTAGCTAAGGGATTCACTCAGGTGGAAGGAATAGACTACAACGAGATCTTCTCTCCAGTAGTGAAACATGTCTCGATAAGGATAATGCTATCAGTGGTTGTGAATTTCGATATGGAACTCGAGCAACTAGACGTGAAGACTGCATTCCTTAATGGTAAACTAGATGAAACTATTTACATGGAACAACCAGAGGGTTTTATCGAGAAAGGAAATGAAGGAAAGGTATGTCTGTTGAAGCGGTCTCTTTATGGTTTAAAACAGTCGCCGAGACAGTGGAATCACAGGTTCAATGAGTTCATTCAGTCACAAGGTTTTAAGAGAAGTGTGAAGGATCCATGCGTGTATTACAAAGGTTCAGTTGTGGAGGATAGTGTCTACTTGTTATTATATGTTGATGACATGTTAATAGCAGCTAGAGACATGGTGAAGATCAGGGCACTAAAGAAGAGTTTGAGTGCAGAATTTGAAATGAAGGATCTTGGAGCAGCTAACAGAATTTTGGGAATGGAGATCATAAGAGACAGGAAAAAGGGAATTCTGAAGCTTTCACAGGCAAGATACATAAGTCAAGTTTTAAGGACGTTTAACATGAAAGAAAGTAAGCCTGTTGTCACGCCAATAAACTCATTGTTCAAACTTAGAAGTTTATCAGAGGAGGAGTTAAGGGTTGAAGCTTCTCTAATGGAATCAGTTCCCTATGCAAGTGCAGTGGGAAGTCTGATGTATGCCATGATTGGGTCAAGACCGGATTTGGGTTATGCAGTTTGTTTGGTGAGTCGGTTTATGGCAAAGCCAGGAAGGAATCATTGGGCTGCTGTTAAATGGGTTTTGAGGTATCTTCGGGGAGCTACAGATTTAAGTTTGACTTTCTCAAGGGCTGATTCAATGGAAATTGAAGGTTTCAGTGATTCAGATTATGCTACTGATCTTGACAGAAGAAGATCAGTAACAGGTTATGTTTTTCAGGTTGGAGGAAATACTGTTAGTTGGAGGTCCACATTGCAGCATGTAGTGGCTTTGTCCACCACAGAGGCTGAATATATGGCCATGTCAGAAGCAACTAAGGAAGGTTTATGGTTAAGGGAATTTTGCAACGAGTTGGGGTTTAATTTTGAGTATTTTAAGCTACATAGCGACTCTCAGAGTGCTATCAATTTGGCTAAAAATGCAGTTCATCATGACAGGACAAAGCACGTTGCTACCAAGATTCATTTTATCCGAGACATCCTAGATGAAGGGCTAATCCGCATTGTTAAAGTTCACACTACTCTAAATCCGGCAGATATGTTGACTAAGAGTTTACCTGGAAATTCTTTCGAGAAGTGCCTCGTAACTCTCAAAGTCGTCGCCTGATCGTCTACAGGCGTACTCGTTGATGGCTCTG